CATGCTAGCAGTACATAAAAAGCATGCTAGTAGCACATAAAAAGCATACTTTGGTACACGTTTTTCGTGCCACTGGCACAATTTAAGTGTGCTTTTTCTAAAAGTATGCTTTTCCGGGACAGTGCGTTCTTTACAGCAACTTGGTTACGGCAAACAGCAGTTTACCATAAAAACGTCTAAGAATCACAAAAGGAAGGATTTTGTTTTGTTGGCCGTTAGATCACTCGAATCAGAAACGTGGCTTAGGAATCATCTCGAAACAGCGTCTGAACACTGATTGGATGAAACAACTTAGAATGACAATGCACTTTACATTTATAAATGGCAATAATTTCGAAAATAAATGTCGTAGAAGAAAAGGTGGAGCTGTTTCTTTTTGAAGCATTAAACGTGAAATTTGATTGCACTATACACAGACATGTACCTCTCTCTCCGTTCATAATAGAAACAGAAATTAGTTAGATAGAGATTAGTTTGAACTAATTATGCGTAATTAACTGATGTTACACAGCTAAAATTACTGGTACAAAAAATATGGCTTAGTCTCGATATATTAAGTCCTATTTCAGCTGAGCTAAAACGCCTTACTTATTGAGTATCGTTGAAATTTTTTCGTGGAATGAAAAGTAAAATAATGCTCTTATCAGACAAAAAGCTGTATTTTTATCATGGGTATTTCTATCAGGAAAATACTTGTTTTAATCTCTTTCGATAACTTGCAAGGTGACTAAAAGAGTTTTTTGCTTTTCTGCAATGGAATAATAAAGCCTGCCAGTAATTGTTCGAATTCTCGAGTTACCCAAGAGAATTTGTTTTTCATCGTTCATTCGTTGAAATTAAATTGTCAGTTAACTGGAGTTACCTAAAGAAGTTCATCTACTTTTTTTAGTGTTCCATTCGAGCCGAAACCGCCATTATTTGGCTTTTTTTTGCCTCAATAAATATGACCTTTACACGCTAGTATGATAAAAACTGGAATAACTCCCATTGGTTCTGAATGGCCAATCAAATTGAGACTCTTTGACGCAGAGGACACTTTTATAAAAAAAATTTAAGTGTGACTTAAGTATAAAGCTGACTTTAGTCGAAAAAGATAAAAAATCGTGTTGTATAAAAAAACTTATGATCTAACGCCCATGAAATGCCGTTGCTACGGATGCGATGCCGTCGAATTTTTGGGGCAGTTTTATTTTGCCTTAAATACATTGCTAAAGAATCCTAATCAATAATTATCCATTTAAAATAAAATTGAGCTTGTAATTCGGTAAATGCACTGCACTTGGAATACACTTAGACTACATTAGTGATTTAAACTTCTGCATTTATTCAAATCACTAATGCAGTCTAAGTATATTCCAAGTGCAGTGCATTTACCCAATTACAAGCTCAGTTTTATTTTAAATGGATAATTATTGATTAGGATTCTTTAGCAATGTATTTAAGGCAAAATAAAGCTGGCCCAAAAATTCGACGAAAAATCACGAAAGGAAGCACTTTTTTTTTGTTGGCCGTCAGAGCATTATCTTTTTGTGATTTTTGACTTCAGTTATACTTAGTTTCTTGCTTAAGTGAATAAATTTGACTTAATTTTCTAGAAACGTTTGATCATTTCTAAAAGTATTCAAAGTATAAGTAACTAAAAGTGGCACTCGCAGCCCTTTTAGTGGCAAGAACATTGAGTACGGAACGAATATTTAAAGGTAGACAAAATCCTTTGGAAACTCTGACAGATTATATGATTTTGGCCGATATAGGTTTCCAAAAGCGGCTATTATTGATTTATTACATCTGATTGAGTCGCAGATAATTCGTGCTACTCAAAGAAACTATGCCATTCCTCCAGGCGTTCAGTTGCTCACAGATCTATAGAGAACAGCGGGAGTACCCTAATCCCGGTCCCGATCCGGGCGGGGTCGTGATCGAAGTCAAGGCTGGAAAAGAAAAAGTTTCGGGGTCAAGATCGGGGATTTAAAACATTTCCGCTATTCCCCGGCAAATGCTTTTGTTTTTCTAAAATAGAAAGAAGTTTATTTCCACAGTTAATTAATGATAATACAAACAAACAAAACAAGATGATCTGATCATCAGAATTCGAAGCTGAAAAACTTTCAGGGTCGGGATCGGGGTTACTGAAGGAAAAACTTTGGGGTCGGAGTCGGGTTACGTCAGAGAAAAACGTCGGGCTTCGAGATGGATTTCGGGGCTACAAAATTCGACTCCACTGCTCTACGATTTTATGCTACCGGTTCATTTTTTTACGTCGATGGAGACGTACATGGGATTAGTCGATCGTCAGTCAGTCTCGTAATGAAAGACATATGAGCGATCCTGCCAAATTTTGCTTCACAAACAATTAAATTACCAAGCACAGTAAATGAACTGTATGAAATAAAACAAGGGTTTTCGAAATTTTCGAAATTTCCTCGAGTTGTCGGTGTTATCGATTGTACTCATATTCAAATTAAAACACCGTCTGAAAATGAAGGTAAAATTTAGTTTTCAGTTCGTTTACTCTGCTTGAGTAATTTCTGCCATAATTACCCGATATAATCTACTCCAAAACAAGCAACGATTTAGCACCAACAGTATAAATGTAAAATTAAAAATTCTCCGTAACCATCGAACATTAAGCCTAGTGCAATACATCATTCGACGCGCCTTGAAAAGATCTGCAATACATGTTAATAAGAAACTTAACGAAGCAGGTTTTTTCTGTTTAATACTAGACTTTTCAATAGGTCGCTACTATGCCAATGGAAGGCTAGGGAGTCTACCAGCATGTACGTCCACAGAAAATAGGAGAAGTACACAGAAGTAGACAGATTCTACTCTTTAGGAAAAAGGACGATGGCCACAACCAAAGGATCAAAAAGGAGAACACTGAGGATAAAGAACGTGCAACTATTTAATTAACATTATTTTCACGCAATGATTACTAGTACGTGAATCATAACTTTATGATTATTTCTCATGACCAAAATGTAATGTATGCGAATGCCTTCGAAAATTTGAATGGCTACTTCATGATGGAGACCACTTTTTTTTTATGATTATTAATTAGATTTAAAAAGTGGTCTCAATTTGGAAATGAAAATTTTATAGTAGAAAAAGCGGTCTCAAAGCGGTTTGGAATAGAGCGTTTGTTCTTTTCACGTACTTTGTACGCTATTTATAATTTCGAATCATTTTTTAATTAGGAATGATTGGCTACTGTACAGACACAAAAAAGTAGGACAGTTATATTTTAGGTTCATACTCATCATCATCATCTTTAGAATTAGAATCATTATCTAACACAACTATATAACGGTAGCTATGATTGTCTAATAGAATCAAATACTGGAATCGTGACAGCATTTCCATTCTTCCTTCTCTAAAAAAAAGTATAACAACTCTTTAATTAATGAAATTTAATTAATTTGATTAATGAAAACTCACAAAGTACTAATTTTTTCACTTGTTGATCATAAATTTGAGATATTGGAATTGTTGGTTCTTCTAAAACACGTTTTCTGATTGAACTGACACAATTTAAAACATTCTTCGCTAGTTTTGGATCATGCATTGAATAATGAGTGCCATTATCATCAATACCACTACTATCAATTATGGCATCATCTTTTATTGTTATTGAACACGAATAACAATTACGAATACAGACTCATCTTTCAGTTCCGTTTTTATTTGAACGTTTCAACCGCTATAAGTAACTTTTATATAATATACCATTCTGTTTTTTTTTTCAATTTTGATACAAGAAAAACGTAGAGTTGTAGACATGATAGGATTCGTAGAAAACTTCGAATTGAAATATTGTGTTTCAAGGTAATGCTCTTCATTTTTATAGTCTCACCCGATCCAGTAATGTCGCTCTCAGTTCAATTTAGTTTTAAGCATCAGTTTTGAAAAATATTTCAATCGGTTTCTGTCTGTACAGTAGCCAATCATTCCTAATTAAAAAATGATTCGAACAGTGTACAAAGTACGTGAAAAGAACAAACGCTCTATTCCAAATTGAGACCACTTTTTAAATCTAATTAATAATCATAAAAAAAAAGTAGTCTCAATTATGAAGCCTCGATTTTAATGAATGAAAAACAATTAAAAAATTTAAATGGCTTAACAGGCGTTAGAAATGGTGAAATGTATACAAAGCCGCTCGTCAGTATATGGCATCCGTTCACACTCATTAAATAATGGAATGCATGTAAAGGTACCAAAAAGTTCTGTTTTCGCTCCGCTTCTACGGTTTTAATGCACGCTAAGCCCTTTGTCATTATATCGTATTCTTTCGAACGCATAAAAAGGTCCAAATGCCGTCACATGAACTAAAAGTCATTGTTTGCACGTGTTCCATTTTTTAATATATGCGAAGACGTTCACAGTTAAACCACGCCTTAAGGGACCCCGCTCAGGAAAAGCTTTTTTATCTTAGATCCGATTTCGATGGCACTTTCACTGACTAATGCTTACTGTCCTACCAGCTTATGCTAAGAATTCGAGATCGAAATGTTGAAGCGCTGCCGAGTTATTGCGTGACAAGGGGCAAAAGGGGGCTCTTAGCAATAACGTAAAGGCTTTTTTGTTGGAAGGTGCAGAAAGCTGCGAGAGGCCTCAAATGAAAGTAGGCACCTAAGTCTAAAATTTGATCCGCGGCGATTTTTGAATTTCGCTTCTGTTCATTCCCTACACGTATTTTAATTCAGACCTCTGAAAATAACCCTAATTCGGCGGAGTATTTGCCACTTACTATATCAACAGAGACACTATAATCTTCTCTCTATAACTCATCACAGAGTATACAGGCTTTGGTCACTGATCAGGGCTATAAGCTGTATGGGTTGAGCAGCGGGGTAGAACACACTATAGCAATGCACAGGATGAGGATAATAACACCACAGAGTTTACTTTTGGACGACCGGTAACCGATAATGCTGCTAATAATGTCCAAGCATTTAAAAATTTGGTAGTTTCTGATTTTGGGCATTATTTTGAAGGTGATGATGATTGATGATCGGATAGATGACGATGATCCGGAAACAGATGAAAATAATTTACATGATAATACTGAAAATATAGTTAATTCATTAGCGAATGATAGTTCTGTTAATTTATTACGTATCAGAGGTGGACGATGGACGAGGATCGTCGCGAGGCCTCGCGAAGAATCGCGGGGCGGGGAAGAATTTTTGAAAACTTGACGAGGCAAGAACTGCACGAGGCGAAGCCCACAGGGGACATTTTTTGCTTCTTAGTGAAAGACGAAATGGAGACGCTGGACGGAATTCTTTTCGGTTCAGTTGAAAAATATGTTTGTTTAGTAGAGGACATCTACCTTGCAGACTGCAGTTTCCTCAAGTGAAAGCTAAAGCCCTAACAGTAACAGTTGTATATTGTCGCAGCTTGTATTTCGCAGCTTTCTCCATTGAAAAAATTCTGTTGCTTGAAAATAAGATCATATTCGGAATCAGCATGAAAAACTGCATCTAATGGTATATAAGCTAGCCGCCTTCGGCAAAGTATTGCTCAGTTTCTAAAAGTCGGACATTTGTGAGCATTTTTG